TTCCCCGCCCCTCTGGAGGCTCCTCCCCCTTGCCCGCCCCTCTGGAGGCTCCTCCCTATTCCCCGCCCCTCTGGAGGCTCCTCCTCCTTCCCTGTCCCCAGCTTGTGCTTCCCCTGGGTTCCTTCTATCAGTAAGCAGCTCCAAGAGTCCTGGGTGGTCACGCCCATGACCCAGGCGTCACCCTCCCCTCAACCTAGGAATCACTAGTGCACCTGCCCTGGCCAGGCTCTTTCCTAAGCGAGAGGACCTGAGTCAGCAAAGCAGCCTCTGCTCTCATGGGCGGGTCTCTCAGCGGGGAGACAGGAGAATAAGTGCATGATATGTTGGTGGCAGAACTTCAGAGGAAAATCTGAAGCAGCAGAAAGCCCCCAAACCCGCCCACCTGTCACCCTTGACCCCCACTCCACCTCCACCTCCCACATCTCCACCCTCTGCCGTCTCCCTCCCTTGGCTCCCTGTCCTGCCAGGGTGACTGTTTCAAGACAATAGTCTGTTCAGGTTTCTCTCCTGCTCAAGGCCCTTCTGTGGCTCCCATTGACCTTGGGCAGAACATCCACGCCCTAGCCTGGGCAGTCTGGCCCTTCTGGAGCCTCTCCCCTTCCCTCACTCGACTCCTCTCTGTTCGGGCTCCAGCTTGCCCGTTCTAGGAGAGTCTCCCGGGTGGAATCACCCTGGGGACCTTGCTGGGATTATCCCTCTACCTGGAGCATCTCCTGCCCTCCCTGTGCCTGGACGACCCCACAACGTGCCACTTAATGACTCAGTTCAGGAGCCCCTCCAGGAAGCCTTCCTGGTCCCCCAGGCTGCGACCCACGTCCCCTCTGCTGGCTGTGCCTCCCTGGTGCACTGAGCATGTGGCCCTCCTGGCCTGATGTCTTTGGTGACAGTTTCCAGGAGGCAGACTGGGTGTGCCTCGTCTTCAGCTGCCCTCTGCCCACAACGGCACTGGAGTGGCACATGGGCACTCTGGACTCGTCACAGAATGTATCTAGTGTCGGGACCAACATCCTAGGTTCTGGAAACCTGCTTTCTGGGCCCCGCTGCATCTCAAACCTGCTGTGCGAGAGCCCCAACCAAAGCCCTTTACTACTCCAGGCCTCAGTGTCCCTGTCTGCAAAATGGGGGTACTCACAACTACCTCCTGTGTTCTGTGTCTCCTCCAAGTCAAATGTGGAAAAAAGAACTGTGAGCGTGTGTATGCACATGCGCATGTGCATGTGTAAATAAATTACCTCTATTAAGAAGTGGATGTCCGTGACCTGACTTTCCCTCACAGCAGCTTTGGGTAGCTTCTACATTATGGTTGATGGAAGGCAGGTGATCAGGTGCAAAGCCCGTGTCTTTTTTGAAAGGCTTCCCAGCCAGCCTCCAGCCCCATCTCCGCCGGCCCCTCTGGACCTTCACCCCCACTCTAGCCACCCGGCTTCCAGCACAGGGAGCCAGGGCTTTGCAGACCGACTTCCCCTCCCTCGCTGGAGGAGCGTGTCACCTCCCCTGGGGTGCCTCCTTCAAAACCACAAGGTTCTCTCTCTGGCTTTGGGCCCAGAGCAGGCTCCGCAAGCCTCCACATGCTTCATCCCAGGCTCTTTAGAATATTAGAATATTTTTGAAGGTGTCCCTCCATTCCTAGCGACAGACTGAGCCAATGCAGATGGAGACGTGTCCTCAGAACCCTAGACCCTACCTTGGGACTGGAGGGCCCTCGCTTTCAGAGACCTCATCTGTCTGTCTGTCTCTCCCTTCGCCCCGCAGAGGAGTGTGAACTGGGCCCCTGGGGCAGCTGGAGCTCCTGCACACACAATGGGAAGACCTGTGGCTCCGCCTGGGGCCTGGAGACCAGAGTGCGAGAGGCTGGCCGGGCCGGGCAGGAGGAGACGGCCACCTGCCAGCTGCTGTCTGAGTCAAGGAAATGCCCCCTCCAGAGGCCCTGCCCAGGAGGTGAGTGCAGGGCTGCCTGTGGGTGAGTGCACGGTGATGTCTAGTGGCCTTGAGACATTGTCCCCACAGATGGTACCTGCGAAGCCAGGTGAAGTCCTCCAGCAGCCACGCCTTCCTGAAGATGACTCAGCCCTTCCCCACTGACCACTCCCCTTTCCATCACGCGGACTTTGGAACCTGCTGTTTACTGACCTGAAATGAAATTCATGGATAATGTGACCCACTGACACAGGTCACTTTTGGAATATCCGCGTAGTTCCCTAACTGGAGTATAAAAGGGAAAGAAAAGAAATTCCATGATGGAAGCACTTTGGCCCCACATAGGAGAGGACACTCGGGGAGTAGAATCAGAGTGTGGGTACGGCTGTGGCCCGTGTCTCTGGAGGGTGCACTTGGCCATGAGAGTTGTGGCTTCCCAAATGGGGACCAGTGATGAGGAAGATCACACTGTCTGATGTCACACAGACAGTCCTAGAATATTCCACGAGAGAAAGTGTCCCAGATGCTCGGCATTCACATGAAGCAGCTCAGCTCTGAGCAACATGAGGGTGGAGCGGAAATAGGGGACCACTGCCCATGCAGCACCCCCATCCTTGTCCACTGAATGCCGTGGCACCCCCTTCATTGAGGCAGCCAACACCCTGCACAGATTTCCAAATACTGGGGGCAGGCATTAGGAACCACGGATTTAAACAGAAGAGGGGGTGCAGGGGTGGAGGGCATATGTGACAGTGGACACCAATAATAGGGAATTGGCAATGTTAACTGTGCTTATACTACGTACCAGGCCACTGCACTATTTTTTTCTACAGTTGTTGACTCATTTAGTCTACATAATGATGCTATGAGGTAGGTATTCTAAATATGCCCCTTTGACAGATGAGGAGATGGAGACCTAGCTAGAGAGGTTGAGTCACCTGATGAAGGGCCTCCTTGTCAGGTGAAGGTAGACCTGGAATTCCAACACAGATCGGTGCGTGCAAAGAGGAATTTAACATCATGGTTAAGGGTGAGACACCCGATGCAGGCCACTCAGAGCACACTGCCGGGACAGGGTGGAACCAGGATCCGAACCCCAGGACACCCCTGGTTTCTGAAAGACTTGTGGTGACGGTGAGATGGAGACAGGACCAAAGAAACAAGGATATCCCAGATCCAGGGAAGCAGCCTTACAGACAGACAGACGACAATTCTGTACAGCCCTTATGACTGTGGCTAAACCTCACACGGATCTGAGAGCTGACAGCTGATGGATTGTTGGGGCTGCAAGCCGAGATCTCTTCCCTGGATGACCACAGCAGCAGCAGCAGCGGTGGCAGCGGGGACAGGCATACCACACTGGCCACATGCTGGGGGCTGCACCTGGTAAATCCGGCTCCCTGGATTCTCATGACCCGTGGTGGCTCCCTGAACCATCCGGGTCTTTGCTCGGATGCCTCCTCTGCAGAGAACTCTTCTAGGTCCCTCACACCAGGGCATAAACACCTTTCTGAAGCAGCCTTGCTGGTTCCGTGGCAGCCTGTGTCCTCAGACCACGGTTTCCAAGGACAGCCAGTCTTTGCCCACCTCGTGCACAGACATCTCTCTCGTGCCTCATACGGGGCCTGTAGGTGTCCAGTTAACTTTTGTTGGCCGGCTTCGTGAGGAGGGTGGGGGGATGGGCGGGTGGGTGCATGAACGAATGGGATAGGGGCAGCTGTCAGGATGAGGATCCAAACCAGCCACCCAGCTCCCCCACTTCCAAACCAGCAAGGGGACCCACCATGCCTGTGCCCAGATGCTGTGCTCACCCCAGCCCTAACAGCCTGCAGCGGAGAGTGGGAGCCTGGCTTCAGTGGCCCTGAGCACTCACAGTGGGTGTGGGAGCCCCAGAAAGGGGCAGCCCAGTCTAAGCGCGTGACCCTGACACTGCCCTGCGGAGAGGTGAGTTGGAGCTGGAGCTTTGGCCCTGACTTGGGAGAAGATGGGCACACAGTTGACACCAAAGGAATACCCTGCCCTCCTCTCATCCTGTCTGTTGTTTGCCCTTGGAAGGGGGCTCCCTTCCAAGGTCAAGGTCATCAAGTTCATCAGCCGGCACTGGGCTGGCCAGGAGGAGAGGAAGCAGAGACGCCCAAACCCTTATGCTCTTAAAGAGCGCGTGCTCGGACTATGTCCGTGTCTCCCACATCTGGTCGATGGTCACTCAGTTTGTCCCCTCTGCCCTAGTGTGCCACCTAGAAGGAAAAGCACAGGACTGGACTCCAGAAACTCTAGTTCAGGGTGTGCCACTGGCCTCCTAGCTGTGCCTCGGCCACCCCCCCCGCCCCATACAGTGGGATGTTCACATTAGACATCCAGGGGGTGGGACTCAGGGGGTCAACCAGGAAGCTGCCCCTTGTTGGGGGTGACTGGGGACATGGTTACGGGTGCTGTCTCCAGCACGCAGCCCGTCCACAGTAGGTGGACACGCGTGCGAGGGTCAAGGGGGCACCCAGAGGCCACCGAGATGCCACCCTGAGGCCTAACTGGGGACGTCCCTGACTCTAGCGCCCTCCCCCCCCCCGCCCCCAGCCGCTGCGCTGTGGGGACAGCGCCCCCTGCAGGCCGGAGCCCGAGTGTCCCACCCCGGGGCCTGGGCAGGGCGCCCCGTCCATCAGGTCTGTCAGACGGACAGACAGGCCCGCGCTTCTCTTGCAGAACGAAGCCCCCGCCAGAAGAAGGGCCGGAAGGACGGGCGGCCGCGCAAGGACCGGAAGCTGGAGCGCAGGCCCGACGGGAGGCCACGCCAGCCCGGGGCGCAGTGACCAGTGACCGGCGCCGCGCTCCGCGGGCCCTCCCCGCCGCCCCTGCTCGCTCGGCCACCGCCTCCTTTCCCTGGGGCGACCTCGCTTTTCCCCTTGTTTTCTTCCATCCTGTTTTCCTCTTCCCTCCCTCCTCCTCCCCTCCCGCTTCCTCCTCTCCCCCTTTCTTTCCCTTTTCTCCTTTTTCCCTGTTCTCCACCATCAACATCTCCTCCCCCCCACACACACACACAGGTTTTTAGAGAGAGCTCCACGCTCCGCCCTCCCCTGGGCGCTCTCTGCATCTCATAGAAGTTTTAAGAAGGTCTTCAAGGTTTCTCTAGATCTTTCCCTGCCCCCGTCCTGACCCCACCTTGGCAGAAAGGCAGTTTACAAGGGAACAGCGGGCAGGCCACCTGAGTCCTCACACGTGAGCTCCTACACCAGGGAGCCCCCAGAACCCAGGGTGTGACCCCTCTGTCCCCTGGCCAATCCCGAGAGGCCATTTCCACACCCCTCAGCCACCAGCTCCCACAGGAGGAGGTGCAGGGCCTCCTGGGGCCCAGCCTGGACACCTTCCCCAGCTGGCCTTGGGGGAGCTCCTGGGGCCCCTGCTGCAGCCCACCAGCTCAGCCCAGGGCCTTCCTCAGGGGCCCATCCCTGCCAGCTGACCACTCCCAGGGCCTCCAGGGACCCGGCACTGGATCCGCTGGGGCGTCACTGCTGGGGGAATGAGCAGTTCTTACCAGAAGAGCCATGGAAGCGAGTGGGACTCGTCCCCACCCCCGCCTCCTGCTGGCTGTACTATGGAGGCCCGGGGAAGTCCCAAGGGGACCACATGTTCTGCTGGCTCTTGGCAGTGGCCCTGCTGGGCACATCTAGAGCTGAGAGGAAACTTGGAGGATCTCTCAGGGAAGAAAGGAGGGAAATTGATGGGTCAGAAGCCAAGGAGACCCCTCCTACCCACATTCATGGGATACCCCCAGATACCCCCGGATACCCCCGAGCCTTTGTGTCTCACAGCGACACCCCACAGCCCAGGGGGGAGGTGTGCTGGGGGAGGCTCCAGGTTAGACCAAGCTCTCACTGCCTGTCAGTCTGTCTCAGCAGGCCCTGCTCCCCAGAACCCCCAGACAGGCCTCCTGGTTAGCACTGGCCACAGGGACCAGCAGCTGGGAGCAGAGGGGGGCAGAGAAAGAGTCTGAGCCCGGAGGGCCCAGGGTGGGGAAGGAAGAGGCTGCAGGTTGGGGTGAAGCCTCGACTGGCGAAACATCACCTCCTCCACCGAAGACAGAGACCCTGCCTTCCACCTGGCAGACGGGGTCCCCAGCAAGCACTGCTGCTACCTGGCCCTCACTCCCCTCATCTCGCCTCCCTGAGGACAGCTAGAGCCCTTCCTCACCTGGCCAGGCCACCGGCTTCCCGTCTGCAGAAGTGTGTGCCTCTGAAATGCTTTATCATTTTTTGTTTTAAGACCCCAACTTTTTTTTAAATAAAAGAAAAAATTTGCGTTTGCAAATTTGGGCATCAAGCAGGAGTTACAAAACCATGATGCTGATGAGTTTGGAATAGCAGAATCTAAACCATGTGGGGTGGTTTCTGCTGGAATGCTCTGGTGAGAGGGGTCAGGGTGCCTGGGGACAGGGGAGGGTTTCAGCTGGAGGAGGGGGGCTGGAAAAGAGGAGGGGCCTGCAGCTGCTCCCAGCCCTTGTCAAAAAGTGGGCTCATCCAGAGGCTGGAGAGGGCGACACCATGTCCCCAGCACCTCTCTGCCCCTTGAATCACAGAAGTGGCTCCAGGAATCCATGTGTGCTCCTTACGGCTTGTCTGAGGGTCAGGCGGGGGCGGGGGATCTAGGAAGTGGACAGTCCCACAAAGCACCAGACGCCGTGGCCACCTGTGACGTGGAAGCCCAGGTGTGAGTCCCAGCCTGCCACCAGCTAGTTGTGAGGTCTAGACAAGTCATTTCATCTTGGTGTTCCCATTGGATGAGCGAAGAGGAGACAAGACTGGATTAAATTTGCTGTCCACATCTGGGAGCCCGCACAGCCTCTCCTGGAGATTTTTTAGAAATTCAGATTCCAGGGCGGCTCTCCAGACCTACTGGTGGGGAGCAAGTTCCGGAGAGGCCCTGGGAGCCAGTGCTCTCCAGGAGGACCCGGGACAGGGCGCCTCCCAGAGCCTCCCCAGCTGAGCCCTGGGGCCTGGATTGAGGGCTGCGGCTGCAACATCAGAGTCCCCCGATGCATATTCTATCTTCTGCTCATACCCAGACCCTGGCTGCAGAGGGTCCAAACTCCACAGTTCTAAAAAGACCAGAGTAGGGCAGAAGGTTCCAGACCTTCCTTTTTCTAGACGTGTTTCCCCGCACCCCAAGGGGAAAGGCCTGGTCCTCTGTCCCGGCTGGAGGCTGGGGACCGTGCATTGGAACGTTCTCACATAAAAGGGTGAAGTTCCTTCAAGGCCCAAGGCCTCCTGTAACCTTGTCACCTTTGGATCCCAGAGGGTCCCTCCTGCCAGCTCCTGACCCTTTCAAACCCCAACCGCTCCCACTTCTGAGGATCCAGGCACCTTCCTGGGAAGGAGACCCTCGACTGCCAGGTGAACCTGCAGACATTCACCGAGAAGCCCGGGAAGTGGCGGAGGTCACCCCGCCAAATGGAGTCAGCCAGGGTGAAGCCCCGAGGGAGGCTCCGGTGGCGACCGGGGGCCCTTCCGGATGCTGTTCCCATGGGAGAGAATAGCTTGGCCTGAGCTGAGGAATTTCTGCTGCCTCCTTCCAGCCCCCCATCCCAGCTGAGCCACACCAGGGCCTTTGCCGGTCCCATCCCAGGCTGACCCTTCACCCAGGCGCTGCCTGTTGTTCCCACATCCACCTCTTGCCACTAGAGGGCGCTGATCAATCAAGAACAGGGCAGCCGCGGGCACTGTGACTTTGTCAAGTGGGGACAAGTTGCTGTCCTGGAAGGCTGGGGAGCTTGCCCTGCTCAGGCTGAACAGCAGCTGTTGCCATGGTGACTTCTGGTGAATGGTGTTCACAACAGCACACAATGTCAGACCCAAAGGTGCAGGACCAAGACCCTCATTGCACAGAACAGAGACCCAAGGAGGACCAGGAGTGCCCAGCAGCCCAGGAAAGTCACCATGACACGAACTTGTGCCAAGACATTAGCCCTGGGTGATGTGAAGCATCACACCTCTCCATTTTTACCTACAGAAAATTTCCTTCATCCTGTGTGATCCTTCTGATTCGGGAATGTGCATTCTGATAATAATAACAGTGATGAGGATGCTGATGATGATGTCTTCTATTTAGTGAGCACCTACTATGTGCTGGACACTGCAAACAGCCTTGTGCACCTGTCTCATTTCCCGTGCTTCTTTCTCCTCCATGCAGATCATAGTAACCCCCATTCTGACTTCTGCCTGTGTATCCCACATCTCCACGTCCTTTGTCTCCACCTGCACAGCCACACTGCAGGCCAACCCACAGAAGAGGAAACTGAGGCTCGCATTAGAGTCATTCAAATCCGTCCGTCTCAGCTATTCGCCCCTTCATTAGATATGCATAAAGTGCCCACTGTGTGCCAGGGACTGTGCAGGGTGCTGGTGATAAGGATCCCAGCTTTGTCCCCAGTGTCCCATGTGTAGATGTGAAAGACCTTTCTCAGAGGACAGGACCTAAGAGAAGGGACAGAAACCCACCCACAGCCCAGGGGTCAGGGAGCTCCTCCCACAGGGCCAGAGAGCCCCGAGGACTGAAGGATGAGGGCACAGATGGGATGGGCGGGAGGGTCCAGGTTGAGGAGCCGCACATGTGCAGCCCTGGAGGAGGAGCGTCAGACCTCAGAGGCAGCCGGTCATGGACCATGGACGTGGCCCTGGGGGCTGCTCCCCACACAGCCTCCATGCCTCCCAGCCTCACCCACAGCCTCCACGCCTCCCAGCCTCACCCACAGCCCCCACATCTCCCAGCCTCACCCACAGCCTCCACGCCTCCCAGCCTCACCCACAGCCCTGTCTTCCCAGGCAAACTGCCATCCACGAGGTGGGACAGACCCAGCCAGGCCTCGGGAGCCATCTGGGTGGTGGGTCCCTGGTCCGGCAGCTCCAGCCCCCCCCCCCCGTTACAGAATCTTCACGGCCCAGCAGAATCAGGCCGCCCCTCCTTGACCAGTCAGAGCACCCTCTGGTCCTCAGAGCCTGTGAGCATCGTGCAGCCGAGACTGTTCTGTGTAAGGCTGGGAGGGTGGTTTCACAGCCAGCTCTGGGGTCCATCCTGACACCTGTCTCCTAGGGTGAGGGGACAAAAGTGAGATATGTGAGGGAGCAGACAGCAGGACCGCAGGTGCCGTGTTCATCCTGACCAGCTATGAACCTATGCACAAGATCCTACAGGTCTCCCTGAGCCTCAGCTTCCTAATCTGTAGAAGGGAGGAATAGGAGTACCATCCTTGGTGTTGCCGTGGGGTTTACATAGGTTAATGCATGAGGAAGGTTTTAGATAATACATGCTCAATAAAAGTTTTTTAAATTACACATCGTTCATTTATTCATTCAACAAACTTTTCCTAAGCACACAGTCTGAGCAGGGAACTGTGCCAGACACTCAGCATGAAACACTCAAATCCTTCCTCCCCAGAGCCCTCTGAAGTGAGTTCTATTATTATTTGCTTTTTTTTTTTTTAAATAAACAGGGAATCCAAGGCTTGGAGAGTGAGTAGTGAACTAGGAACCAAAACCCTGTACTGGAGCCACTTCACACACGGGTGCCCAGAGGGGCGAGTCCCTCTGGGCTCAGGGAGAGGGGCTCCTGTGGCAGGACTGCAGTCCCTCCTGCTGAGCAGCTCGGTACCTCTGCCTCCAGAAGAGGAATCCACACACCTAGGGGCCTCAGAAGAGATGCTCCGTCCTACCAGGATCACGTGACAAGAGGACCACACAGAGCCGCCACCTGTCACCTATCTGACTAGTAAAGAGCCCGAACACAGGACGCCGCTGGGCTGGGGGACAGCCCCTCTCCTGCCTTCCTGGGGAAGTGACCGGGCCCAGCCCCGCAGAAGGCAAGAGGGAACCTGCTGCCCAAACAGTTGTGAGGATCGCAGGTTCAAGGCCAGCCTCAGCAACTCAGAGAGACCCCGTCTCTAAATAAAACATAAAAAGGGCTGGGGGCGCGGCTCCGTGGCGAAGTACCCCTGGGTTCAATCCCTGGTACCAAAAAAAAAAAAATCGCCAAGAGCGTGACCTTGACCAGAGCCAGGAGCCACCTCTAGGGATTCGTCCTCCCGTCACCCCGTCCCCTGCAGTCCCGGGCTCCTGGGTGCCCCGCTGCGCTGTGTGATCGCGGAGCACCCTCCCGTCTGGAGCAGCTGCCTCCTTGCCCTCCAGGGGGCGCCCCGCGGCTGTGAAGCACCTGGGGAGAGGCGCCCAAGAGGAGGCCCCAGGAGACGGAGGCCCCCAAGAGGAGGCTGCCGCGGAGGGCGGGGAAGAGAGGAGGAAAGAGTCTGCACGGGTCTGTGGGACTGGCCTCTGTGCCAAACCTGCATGTGAGAGGACACCCTGGAGACTAGCGACCTGGCGGCTCTGGGGACAGGGTGCAGGGAGGGCTGGGGGGCAGGGGGCGGGAAGGAGACTGGCTTGTCTCCTCGTGCCTTTTGCATTTTAAGCCAAGGAAATATATGACTAAATCCAAAAGAAAAAGAAAGGCAGGCTTTGGGGACCTTCTGGAATCCGGTCTTTAAAGACCCTTAAGGATTCAGAGGACTTTGGCATAAATTCCAGAATGGAGCAATTTTCGGCATCGTGGGGACATGTCCTGGAGCTTGGGGAGGGAACCACCAGCCTGAACCCTCTGCGTGGGGCCTAGCTGCCTGCCAGAGGGCAGGGGTCCAGCCCTGGAGGCCAGTCCCCACACCCTGCCATCCCAGCTTCCTCCGGTTCTCGCTGGTCCACCTCCAGCCCCTGGGCTGTGAAACTCTGCTGAGACACCACCAGCACCCAGACGCAGGGACGATCCTAACCTGTCTAAAGCCCAGGTCCCCTGGTTCCTTGGTCCCCCCAACAGTGGGGGGACAGAAGGTACCGGCTGTGCCGATCTGGGTGCCCCCTGGCTGGTTTCCCAGCTGTCTGCTTGACCCCGGGCAAGTCACTTTACCCCAGGGGCCTCCCTTTCTGCAGCTGCAAGTGAGGCCAAGAGCAACCGTTCTGAATCCCCCCTGCTCCTGGATAGCAGAATCAATATTGCTCAAATAGCCCTGCCACCAAAAGCTCTACACAGACTTAACGCAACCCCTATTAAAATCCCAATGACGTTCTTCACAGAAATAGAAAGGGCAATCATGAAATCCATTTGGAAAAACAAGAGACCCAGAATAGCCAAAGCAATCCTTAGCAGGAAAAGTAAAGCAGGAGGCATCTCAATCCCAGATCCTAACTATGCTTCAGAGCTATAGTAACAAAAATGTCATGGTATTGGCACCAAAACAGACCCATAGACCAAAGGTACAGAATAGAAGGCCC